CCCCCCCCCCCCCCCCCCCCCCCATTCTGTATGTTCACAGCAAAAAGTTTTGACTTATTTTTTTTCAGGGCAAATAGTTAATTAGTGTTTTCTCTGAGAACCAACTGGGGGGACGGGTTTCATACCAAGTGCCACCTCTCTTGCTAACTTCCCAGGGATCTCTGCCTTTCCATTTATCCCCTCTTTGCAGCAAGAAAGTGTTTCAAACATTGAATCTCCAAATTGAGCGAAGGGAGGAGAGAACAACTGACATTAAAATCCTGTTTCATGGCTTAATGTCCAAAAAGTCCTCTAGAAACTGTTTCCATTTCCACTCTTAGGGAATGGAAGCTGAGGATCTATGTATTAACATGCGTATTTAGACAGATTAAGTCCATGTCGGGAGATTTGTCTGTTAGCGGCAGTAATAAAGATGCTACATAAACCAGCACACCAAAGTGTGGCTGCAGAGTTTGCCCAGCACATAAACCTTTGTCCCATGCAAGTAGAGAGCTTTGGTTGTAAATTGCCTTGCAGTACTAGCTTGCCAAATAAATGGGTAAAATGATTTTTATGGTCCGACAAATCCTCCGTCCTGTCCCAGTCTTGTAACGTGCCTCTGTTTTTTGGACGTTGAGAGGCCCAGATGATTTTGTACATTGGACTTGTGGAAGTCAGGGCACTGCTGCAGTGGGACAGGTGAGTCGGTGGGTAAGTGTCACGTGCTGCATGGCTTGGTGACCCCTTTGGCAAGTGCTGATTGAGGTTAAAGCTAAATGATAACTCTCTCTCTCTTCTTCAAATCAGTCAGAAGGCAGCAGCCCCCTCCACAGCCAGAGTGATTTCTAAGGGGTCTCACAGTCATCTGGCTGTTTTAAGCCCGTTGTAAGGGCAGCCCAGGAGCAAGCTGTGCCATGAGGGGTGATCCTGCGCATGTTCAGATTGCCCACAGATCTGGGTCTGTGCACCCTGGCTGCTATCCCTCTATAAGGCTTTCCTTATGGCTAACCATATGCCTGCCAAGTAGGCTGTAATGAGGGACGTTCACATCCAGATTTAACCCTCTCTTGATCGCGTGTACCATCTTGGTGTTGCCCTTCTGTAATGATATGGCAGACAGACAACACATTTGTTGCTAGGGAAAATACAAGCTGGCA